CTTTTACACCTTATGTGCAAAATAATGTGGTCCCGGAAGGTAGAATAATATCCACTTGGCATGTGAAGCCAGTGTGGTGTTGATGGTCCTGGAGATGTATTTTAAATTTGCAGGAATAGAAATTTAGTGGGAAGCAGCTTATATGATCAGGTACTTCACGGGTTCTGCAAACCTGTTTTCTTTGCTATTCAGCTTCTGGGCAACTCCTTCCTAACTACTGATCAAAAATCTATCTCAGAGAAAGAACTGATTTCATAGAATCAGTGTTAGGAGAGCAGTTATTTAAAAGATATTTTAAAAGTAATTTAGACTGCCATTCAGAAAGATCACACTTGTCGTGGTCTGAGCACTTAGTTTTGTTGTCAAAAGTGGAAGATAAAAATCAACAACTCTAACTTAAAAAACCATTACATTTTATTACAGGGAATTGCGCATTACTGCTAACGGGTCTGTGATTTTTTGTCATGGCTTTAAGAACTAAGAATTTTATTTTGGGAACATATGGCCACCTCTCAAAACAAGAGATCATTGTAAAGTTTCACTGTCTTCAGTCTTTTTAAGTTACAATTGTTCTGCTGAGTCTTTGCTTCCAAAGGCAGCATTTCTAACTTTATAATAAAGTATTTCTACTGCACCTTTAATAGTCCTTGATTCACTGAATCACAGAATCACAGAATCCTAGGGGTTGGAAGGGACCTCAAAAGATCATCTAGTCCAACCCCCTGCCAGAGCAGGATCACCCAGAGCACATCACACAGGAACTTCTCCAGGCAGGTTTTGAATGTCTCCAGTGAAGGAGACTCCACAACCTCTCTGGGCAGCCTGTTCCAGTGCTCTGTCACTCTCACATTAAAGAAGTTTTTTCTGATGTTTATGTGGAACCTCCTATGCTCCAGTTTGCACCCATTGCCCCTTGTCCTGTCACTGGACATCACTGTAAAAAAGCCTGGCTCCATCATCTTGACACTCACCCTTAACATATTTGTAAACATTGATGAGGTCACCCCTCAGTCTCCTTTTCTCCAAGCTAAAGAGACCCAGCTCCCTCAGCCTTTCCTCATCAGGGAGATGTTCCACTCCCTTCATCATCTTTGTGGCTCCTGATCAGTTTGTATGCTCTTGAAAATCCCAAAGAGGTTAAACAATTCTGCATCTATTCCTGTATGAAGACCTATTTTATACGGCTCTTGGCACATGCTCTGTGTTGGTACATCCCATAAAAATGCCTCCCTTTCAACTGCCAGAGAACTTTTGATCAACTTTATCTCAGGTGACTGACTCTTTCAAATGCCCAGGGGCACTTTGCTACAGAGACTAGCACTTTTTTTTCCCATGCCCTCCAGGGTATTTCCATCTTCTCTTCTGGGGAATTTCAGCAACAGAGACTTACCACTCTCCAATAAATCTCTGTAATTGTTATTAATTTATTTTGTTTATACCTGGTAAAAATGGAAATAATGTTTAAGCTGAAGATTTATTGCATGATCTTTAAGTAGAAGACCTTTAATCATTAAATCTTAATGAAGGTAGGAAATTTAGCCTCCCTCTGGACAGCTCACTACATTATTTTTTTCTGAACAGTCACCTTGGATTTCATGTTAGTAAAGAAATGCAGGAGAAAATTCGTAATCTGTGTCACTGTCCTACAAGACTAAGATGCCGGTAAGAACTGCTGGTTTTTCCCTTTCCCTGAAACAACAATTTTTAACTCTAGGAACCTTTGTAGTTTTTATGATGCTGAAGAGTTTTTCAGTCATTGCTTTAGTGTTGACTGATCCATCAGTTCAAGTTCAGTGGTTTTCATTCTAAATCTAGCTACTGTGCATGCTTCTATGTTGTGCAGTGCTGTTTTGGTATGATACTACCTTTTACATCACTTCTCTGGCGAAAAGTCAGTTGTAATACCAAATAAAAAAGATTAAGAAAAGGGGTTCATTATCGAACATCAGAGTCTGCCATACACACATCTTCTCTTGACAATATTGCAGGCTATTAGTGTTAATGTGAGTTTTGGTAATCTTGCTTACAATGACAATTGTGCAGACAGTGCCTCATCAAAGATTTTTTTTCCCCATTTTTATTCTGAGGAGTTTGATTTGTTTTAATTCTTAGGATGCTTTACAGCTCTTATAAGCCTCCAGGCTACAACCTTTTTAATTGTTAAGTTCTTTTCTTACTCCTTTCCAGAGATGTTAATTGTATTAATCTATTTCTTGTCCTGCATTTTTTTTTTTTCCCCAGACATTCAGGTATTTTGGGGATGGGGAGTTGGTTGGTTGGGGGTTTTTTTGTTGATTTTTTGATGTTGTTTGTTTTTTGCTTGCCGTGCTTTTATTGTCTTGTTTTCCTTCCTTTTGATTCAAGAGAGTACTTCCTTACTTTTCCAGAGCTAGACCCTGAATGAATTGTGACATTTGACATCTGTGAACTGACTTCTTGTGACCGAAGTTCTGCAACTCCTGAAATGATGAGTGCCTCCATAAATACAGGTACACAGGTTGAAGTGACTATTACTTTTCTTGATGAGGTAGAGCTTAAAGCACAGACCAAAGAATGGATGGCTGGCTGGGACCTAGGCTTTTCCAGGACGGCCAGTAGAGTCAAGAGATACGGAATGGTGGAACTTGTGTTGATTAAAAGGACAGGCTGAGAGAGCTGGGGTTGTTCAGCCTAGAGAAGAGAAGGCTCTGGGGAGACCTCATAGCAGCCTTCCGCTGCCTGAAGGGATTACAGGAAAGCTGGAAAGGGGCTTTTTACAAAGGTGTGTAGTGATAGAATGAGGGGGGATAATTTCAAACTGGAAGAGGGGAGATTCACGTTAAGTATTAGATAGAAATTATTTCATGTGAGCGTAGTGAGACACTGGAACAGGTTGCCCAGAGAGGTTGTGGATGCTCCACTCTATAAGTATTCAAGGCCAGGTCAGAGGGGGCTTTGAGCAACCTGGCCTAGTGGGAGGTGTCCCTGTCCATGCAGGGGTGTTGGAACCAGGTGATCTGGAAAAAAAAAGTACTACATAAGATGAAAGGTGAGAAATCCCACTATTAAACTGCACCAAGTAAGAAATTGAGTTTACCTTAATATAGTCCTGAGCTGTTGGATCTGAAATCTGTAATTGATTTTTCATCTCCTCCTGTGTTTCCCAGTGACCAAGGAGCAACATTTTAAAGACCTTTCCCACTTCCCAGTTTGAAAGCAGGCATGTGGATAAGTAAGGTTTGATAGGGGAGCCCTTGAACTTGTTTCCATACTGTGCAGCCCAATAACCCACCCTGCTTCACCAAAGGGTGCCCAGGAAAGGCTGGCAGGGCTGGATGTGGTTAGGGATGCCTCAACAGTGACAGGCACCCAAAAAGGATGAGCTGAGAGGGATGTTGGGGGCAGACATCCACTGCCATTGCAGGTTTCCTCAGGAAAAAAGCTGGTTTATGGACCCCTTATTTTTTTCTGACTCATTTGAGTCGCTGGAGCTGTGTGGCCATGCCAGCACTGCCAGGCCTTCACTAGAGGCTCAGGAAGCCCACAGTAGATCACATGGGGCTGGAGCAGGGATGTGGACTGCTCCATGCCTTAAAGTAGTCAGCAGCAGTTTTGTCTAGGTTGTTTTTTGTTGTTGTTTTGGTTTGGGTTTTGTTTGTTTGTTTTTTAATAAAGCCTAACATTCCCACAATCCCCACCTTTTCTATAAACTGAGCCCTGCAGGGTAGACACACTTGCTGAAGTCTGACCAGGCTATGAAACACATCCCTCTTCTAATGAATCAGTCCCTAAAACTGAGTTCCTAAAACCCTACGGAGGGAGAGTCTGAGGCATCCCCTAGTTTCCACCCACTTTTGCAGTGGATGAACTTCAGGGCTGCTGAATACCCAAGACACTTGATTTTTGGTGACTGACTGAGATTAAGAGCCAGCAATCAGCACTGAAGATCTCAGGCATGATTAATCAGTGTTGTCTGTTTATTGAATATTGGAGAAGAGACAATTAGCTGTCATTATTGCCACATAGCACTCCCAGAAAATACATTAATCAGTCCTCCCCCCGGGCTAGGGTTCGACTCTGGTCAGCTGCTGCATTTTGCTGTGCTTCCCAGAGCTCTCCAGGATCAGACTTCTCTTCTGGGTCACCAAAAGTCTGAAAAAAATAATCTATATTTACATATCCCTGTCTGGGTCAGCAGAACACCTGACCAAAAACCTTGAACAGGGAAGATCCCCGTAAGTGTACAGCTGGAACATACTCCACATGAAGTATGCAATGTGTATGCAACATTGTCCATGCTGCCCATGATGTTACTTTAATAGTCCACAGTTTAACAGCAACATAAGTTCAAAATTATAATTTCCTGAAAAGTGCACAAGATTTAGGAAGTTTAACCAGAATGTTAAAAGAGCTCTTCAGAAAAATACATCATAATGTTTTGCCAACTCTTTGAATGCATTTATTCATGTTTGGATTTGTGTAAGGAAGTTTCCATGCTATAAATTTTTATTAAAAACATCTCTTTAGAAATAAATAGCACATTTATAGTTATAAACAAACAAGTTTTTACACATGCTAATATTGGGTTTCCTCTTACAAAACTGGAAGTGTATTCCACCATTTAATTATTTTTTTTTGTTTATAACTGATACAAAAGGATAAAATTACTGCATGAAGTTTATACTTACTGTGGGTTTCCTAAGTCCTGACACTAGATATGCTATGTTTGCATCTGTTTTCCTAACAATATTTATATTGGAAACATAACCTTCTGTTCCTGCTATTGATTTTAGATGTAGTAAATGAGCTTAAATACTGCAGAAAAAATAATAACAAAGATTAATATAGTAGTTGTTTTTTTCTGCTTGCTCATGAGAATGACTGATTTGTATGAAAAAAGAAATATGCTTGAACTGTAGAAAAGCTTGATAACATCAGCTGGTTAAAGGTAAAATACATTTTTCTTTAATTCACCAGAATTTTATTTTCATTAGTTGTTTGAAAATGTGTGGCCTGGCTTCTCAGATACTAGTAAAGCAGAATTCCTCAATTATGTTCTCCTTTCTGTTTTCTGTTTCCTGCAGATCAAGTTGATGATACTCAAACGTCACACGGTTGATGTGTTTGCCACTGGAGACCATTCGCAGCACAGTATTGTCGCAGCCAATCTTCATTTGGGCTAATTAGAGAAAAGAGATATAGAGGAGATATAAAGATACATTTACATGAGAGAGGGGGAAAAGAGAGATATAATGGTGTGAATTACAAAGCACTGAGTGGTACACTTTTGGAAACAAAATAAATTTATGTGTGGCAGTGACTGGCCAGTGATGGTATTGCTAACCAAATACCTGCCTTTTTGTATGGGTTAGTTTTACTTTACTATGGCTTGTGTATTTAATCAGCTGTTGCGTTCTAAACTTTACTCATGTAAATGCCACTCGCTTCCCATCCACCCACAGTCTCATCTATGTATAGACTAACACGACACAGAGGTCTGTGTGGGTTTGCACCTGGGAAGGTATGCTACTGTTATGTACCATGAATGACAGGTAAGGGTAACGACACCTCACCCTGGAGAAAATTAACAACAGTTAAATGTTTCCTGTTAGAGGGATGAATGGTTTTGTGTATAAGGAGCTTCTTTCTAATAGTGAAGATATGTGAGAAACATATCTTCACATATCATCAAGACAAACTCAAATGGCAGTGCCACTGGGGAAAATCAAGCATATCACTATACACCACTTAGATGAGATTTTGCAGAGGTTTGGCTGTTTCATTTGGGAAAACTGGAGCACCCTTCTTTCCAGAGAGTCATTGGGAGAGCAAGGGCTGCTGAGATGGGACTTCCTTTCATTCACACCACCAGAAAAGCATGTTTTAATCTCACCCCAGTGCTCGGTATTTGCTCAACACCAATGCTTGCTGGTTACAGTTTTGGATAGTGCCTGCAACATTAAGTTGTGGTGTGATGAGAGGCAAGGGAGATGACAGGAGTGAAGTGCCAGGCAGGTTCCTGGTCTCTAATCCTGCAGAAATGGTGCTACTCCAGTTCACTCATTCAGATGCCCAAGGTACAATCCACATGCCATGTGGACTGGTCTGTTGCAACTGATCAGTGCAACATTGCATACTCGGCTGTACTGAACATTAGGGAAACTGGGAATTCTTATTTTTATGTGGAGAAAGAGGTTACTGGCCTGGCATGATTGTGGAACAGATTCAGAACTTCCCCAGGATTCAAAGGAGAGTGGGAGCTCTGAGGCTTTTTGGGGTAGTTGTTTGAGGTATGCAGCAGAAAAGGAGGATTTGGAAAGGCTAAGTGAGAAAAAGCTCCTTAACTGAATGTGTAACTGCTCCACCTTCATTTGTTATTAATTTTCAGGCTTATCTGGTTACTCTAATAATGAGTTCTATGACATGTGTCATAGAACAAGCATTTTAAAAATGTATATAAATTAACCTTGCTATAATTATTACTGCAGGGGTAAGTGAAGATGCTTGTGAGTGTGCCCCATCATACACACCAAGCACATGCTCAAATAGATTTAGCTTTCATATTCTGCTATGTGTGAAGTCCACCAGTCTAGCAGGAAATCTGGGTTGGTTGGCTTTGATTTTTTTGATTGGTTTGTCTTGTTGGGTTGTTTTGTTTGTTGGTTTGTTGGGGGGGGAGGAGGGGGGATCAGGGGGAAGGGGGACAGCAATTCTGCAGGACTCTCTCTTATTAATTATTTTATCGTGTGGAGATAAGTGGAAGGAATTCTCACCAGATCCGTGGAACGAATGACAAAGATCAGCCAATGGAAACATCTTAGATGGATCTAAGCCTGTTCCTCCCAGCAGCTCTACAAAATCTCCCACTCCTGCACAGCCTGCTGTCGGTTTCTAACAGACAGAGATTGAAAGTTATGTCTTCAAAGAGAAACAATTCTCTAGAGGTAATAGCAGTCAACAGTAGGTTTTGGAAGTCCTTTCTGCTGAAACCTATGTGAAATCAGTCTGTTCTCATCCCGAGCAATATTATTTCAATTTTATATTAATCAGTTAATTTCCCTAAGGGATTGCAAAGAAAGACTTAAAAGAGCTCTGAGAATTACTGGCAAGCAGATAAGGTGTTGATTCAATTGCTTTTAGTGCAATCTGATTCTGGATGCTTAGACATGTAATCAACTAAATACAGTTAGGGGCTGTATGTGTGCTCACACTCAGCTGGCAGGCAAGGACCTTTAACTCCACTATTTGTACTTATTCCTAAGCAAGTGTTGTTAAAATGTGCTATGCTGCAAAGTTTAATTAAAGTAGGAGGTAAAGGAAAGAGTAGTTTCATATTGCAACAATGGCTCACTGTCTATTAGACCCACAAGTGCTCCTTTTCCAAAAGTTAATGCTGTTTGCCCAAAGCATCATGAACAGACATCTTGTGTACCTTTGAGCTGTGACCCATATACTATTGTTTAAGTGCCTGAATTCTTTATTTGTCATAGAATCATCCTGGCTGGAAGGGACCTTGAAGACCATCAAGTCCAACCAAAACTGAAATCTACCAACCACAGCCTAATCTACTCATTCAGTGCTTAAGTAGTGTCACTAAGCACTATATCTATATTTCTTTTAAACACTTCCAGGGATGGTGACTCCACCACTTCCCTGGGCAGCCTATTCCACTGTCAAACCACTCTTTCAGTAAAGAAATTCTTTCTAATATCCAGTCTAAGCCTCCCCTGGTCAGCTTCAGGCCATTCTGCTCCTGTTTTTTGCCTGCCCACTGCTGAGGAAGTCAACTCACTTGCCCTATCTCTCAAAGCCTGATTTGGGACAAGTTTGGTTTCTAGCCATCCTGAACCAGCAATCCTGCTGCTATTGATTCACAGGTGTCAAGAAGGGAGAAGGAAGTGTGACTTGGACTGCAGAACTGGACATGTAATCATTTTAAGCTTATTTGTAAGCCAGGAAGGTGGATACCTCTTGCATGCATTTTATAAAAAATTTGTTTGCCTTATTTTGCCTTTGTTTCTTGTGTAAGCAAAAGGGACTCCTAGGTAGAATGAGAGTCCCTGTGAAAATAACATGTAAGGCAAGGGTATAAATGTGAGCTGACTTGAACCAACAAATCCAATATTTAAAATTCACAGCCTGTGTAGTGCTGATTTTGTCCTCAGGCATCATACTGTAAGCTAAGTTTCCTGTGTCTAGCCAACAGTTGGTCTCTCTCTCAGCAGTGCAAGGCTGATTCTTTCTTCTCAGAGCTTGCTGTCTACACTCAGCCCTTTCCTTCCTCACTGCTTGCACACTTGTTCTTCCAGTTCAGTGTGTGATTGAAATGTAAACATCCCTTGAAAACTCCATGCAGCCCTCCACTGACCTCATAAAATCCTTTTTCCACTGAACCTGCACCCTCGAAAGTCATACCAGACCTCCTCCACCCTGCCTGTGTGTGCCTCTATGGAACAGCTCTCACTGGGGTTTCCAGTTTTCTTCCTAAATCTCAGACATCTGTGTCAGACTCCCAAGACACTGCAAACAGTTGCTTTTCTTCTGTCACCTGAGACATTTCTCCTTTCGTCTTAGTTTCAAAGCCTGGCCCCACTCTGTCTCCTTTGCTGCAGCATTAGAACAGTTCCTGCTGCAGATCAGCACATACAGCTGACCTTCATTGTTCATTTCTTATCTTGACTAAAACAGACCATCTTTGCACTTTCACTCATGTTGTGCAAAGGTACTACACAAGCCCAAAAAGCACTTTCTTCATTTTGCTCTATTCCCTTCTATACAACTTTCCATTGATGCATCACTCTCAAACAACAACAGCAACACAATAACAGCCAGATGTGTGGAGATGCCTGTGCATTGCACTGACACTCTGTCACTGGTTGTTCTTTGCCTGCCTGTTTCCACCAGCTGCCTTTTTGTTTTCTGCCTCCACCAGCACCTTGCATGTGACCACTGTGGGCCCTGGCTCAGACACTGTCAGTCCCCATGAGGGACCTAGGCTACAGTTCTCATTGGCACCAGAAAACAAACTTTCCAATCCTGTTCTTCTGGGTATTTTTAAACTTTCACCCTCTTGGACCTCTTAGGTAAAGGGTGCTACAAACAGCTCTTGTCTTCTCCTCTCTGTCAGCAAGCACCAAACCCTGTGGCCAAACCCCAGCACTGTGCTGTGCATCAGAGGATGCTCCACATGCTGAGCAAGAGTCAGTTGTAAGGGCATTTGCATTTTCACCATGCTGATACCTCACTATATAACCTGTGCCTCCTTTCTCTGTTCAGTGTGGTTGCTGTTTTCATTGATTTAAATAGAGACAGACAGCTCTCCAGTGAGTTCCTCTAATTAAGTTCTTACCCCTTCTTATGGCAAGTAATATTTACATGCATTAATGGTACTTTGCATAATTTGGTTGCTTCTGCAACATTACAGAGGCAGTAGTGATAGAGACAGAGTCAGCTCTTGTCTTTAGGGGAAAACCAGAGCCCACAGCATGCACACGTGATGTGGAACACAGATGCCTTAAGCAGCCAGTGCCACAGGCTACCCCCTTCACTCCCTTCCCTCACCTGTGCCTGGGAAAATTTCACATGGCAGTAACTTCTTGGAAAACAAAAACTCACCTTTAAAAAGAGGCCATTTAGTTGTCCCAGGATAAGATCTGATATTTTTATCACCACTGGATAGATTATGGAGAAGCTGCAATTTCTGTGCTGATGAGGAATGACCATGGTAAACCTTCCCGAAGGAGTCTGAGAGATGACATTGCAAGCTGGGGCACAGGAGAAAGTACAAGAGTTACTGATACAGTCATCATTGCATGTAGCAAGATCATGTACTTTCAGTAAAAATAATAAAAAACCAGATTATTTAAATACTGACAGTTACAAACAAATGCTGAAAAAACATGTATATGGCATTTTCTGGGGTTCATGTGCAGTATTTGTTCCCTAAAAATTCCCTGCCTATTCTTAATGTGTAGCATGTGGTCTGGCAGAAGTTGAGGGTGAAGAGTCAATGGGAGAGCACACACCCCAAATCCATACATCAGGGACAAGAGTTGTTGGGGGCTCATACTGTTTGGCAGTCTAAGGGAGGATAAATACAGATGAAGAGCTTTTGTTTAGCCTTGGCTGGTTATTGTCTGATATTGCAACAACAATAAAACAAGTCTTATTCCACTCTTCTTAACCAAGGTTCCTTGTACTATATAACATTTCATTGAAACAAGAGCAGGCACACACTGATTTTATCTAAAAGTTCAAATGTAGCATTTAGGTAAAAGGAGCAGTTTATCATCTATGTGTGCAACCCAAGGGATCCTCCATGCAGACCTGGAGGCCTGCATCTGCTTCAGCAGGCCAGTGAAGCACAAAAAACAGCTCCAGCATCACATCCACAGGCTTGAAGTTACACTAGCAGGGAGACTTAGATTGCGGGCATGTGTCTGAACAACTCAGAGTAAAGACATTGCCATCCTTTGCATGGTGAAGCAGATAAAAAGCATTGCTTGGGCCAGTCTGATTTAGATGTCCTGTCTCCTCATGGGACCAGTGTAGGCGACCATAATTTGTGCCATGCCAGCTCACAAGCTTAGGAAAATAACTTGTAGATAGATTCTAGGGTTCCTATATAATACATAACTATTACAAAACTATTCAATGCACTTGCTATTTAATTTTTTAAAATATTTTTTCCTCATTGTTCATACAGATCTAGAAATTGCAAAGATTAAACTCTCTTAATTAATACTTTCCTTTAGCCCGATGTGTTGGAACATGACAATATTAGATTGGAAGATATATACCTTGAAAGAAAGGTCCTGAATATTGAATAATAAGGTCCTCATATTGCTCTAAGGCTGGAAATGCAGTGTCCTGCCAAGACCCTGTCCTTTTATGAAAACACTGTCCAGTCAGCTCGTCTGTGCAGCCCTGCCAATTCATTACCAGCTGCACCACAACATGGGTGATGGAGTGGGGGGGGAATGTCTATGGTTGTGCTGTGAGTGTAAGTTATCTCTTGCCTTCACTTTTTAGGTTTTCCCTTGAGACACACACCAAGCCTGAGTCATATCCTCAGGCATGCAAATGTGTGTGTCTCCACTGGTGTTACTGGAACTGTGCTAGTGCAGATAACAACAGAGAGAATTCAGTGCAAACTAACACATGCATTTACTTCCTGCCCATAATGCAAGCCTGTGTATAGTATGTGTAAAATGCAGGCTTACGGAAGAGGTTGGTGTTTTTCTTGACTGTGATGGTGAATCCATTGCCTGGCTGATGAATCCTGAAGAAGATCATTGCCACATTCTGTGATGACCTGATGTTCCTCTGAATTTTGCCGCTTTCACAAAAGTCTACATATCTTTGGGAAGTGGGGAGGGGATGGTCCAAGGAACTAGGAAATTTCTCTCCTTTGAGTATCCAGCCATCAAATACCTGTGGGGGTTCAATAAATGAAAGGAAGGCTCTTGTTTATTGCTCTGGTAACAGAGAACAGAAACAAATTATTACAGATATTGTTTTATTTTGACACCAGTTGGCCTGTTTAAAGCCAGCAATTAAAAAAAAAAAAATCGTATTTATCAATTTTCTAGCATTTAACTAAATATTCAGACTTCAGTCTGTATTTAGGAAAAGGCTATATGTAAATTTTTATGTTGTCTTTATTTCCACCAGGTGACAATTTTGGTGACCTTTTCTTGATGAAAGCAGATCTTTTTGCTCAAGTATCACCACATCTGCTATTTATTTATTTATTGATATTCCAATTCCACTCTGGCTAAGAGAGTTTTTTTACCAACTTGATTTGGAAGCCATATGAAACATAAGCTGCCCTCTCTAACTCTGGGCATGGAGTCCATTGATCTCATACGTAATTTTCCACCACCCATGTTTTGCTACTTATAATTAATGGGCCCGGGAGGCTTCCAGAGGTATTGGAACACAATAAAGCTTCTGGGGGTCGTTATTGGCACAGACACTGTTCTCTCCTGCATCTAGTCTTTCAGCTTGTTCTAACCACCAGAAAGCAGAAAAAATGTTTTCTACTTGGCTAGGCCTTAGGCAGCAACCTCTATAGATCTTTCCTTCTCAATAAAAATGGAAACAATTTGCCCTCACCATCTTCAGGGATATGTTTCAGAACTGGAAATCCGTATTAGTTCTAGGATAGCTGTGCAGCTGCCTGCCTTGTTGTTTCGGTTCCCTCATAGCTGCTCTCACCAGGTAATTCCTCTACTCTCCACTCAATAATTAAAAAATCCAAGGACTGGATCCTGTCATTGTTTTGGTGAGTAGTCCTAATGTGAATATATGTGGGACTTCTTCATGGAAAAGCTCTAGAATCAGTCTGGATTTGCCAGAAATGTACATTTTCCGAAGTAATGAGATATGGATGCTCAAATTACACGAGGGAAAAGGCTGCCTGCATAAATACAATAGTATAATGCAGAAACTGGGGTTCCCATGATCAAAGAAAGGAGACATCTATAAAGCCTCAGAGACCTTTGTGCATTTTGCTAGCCTCCATAAGTGGCTGTAAGTCTATGAACAAAATCCTTCGACTGGAAGGAGGCTAAAATTAGGCTCCTGTAGCAATGTGGGGAGGGATCCCAGCCAGGAGTACAGAATGAAGGGACAGGATTTCCCGGAGTAAAGCAAGCAGGGAGATGGCATCTCTCCAAGAGAGAGACACAAGGAAAGGGCTCAAGGGCAGCTTTCCTCCTCCCTGGAGCTAACCTGGGTGGGATGTGCACTGCCATCGCAGTGCAAAGAGCAGGGCACAAGGTGAGGGGAGCAGCCAGGGACTGTTGAGCTGCCCCTTCTGTCCTGAGCCAAGTCCAGATCTTGATCACCCCTACTGCCTGCCAGCACTGGTAAAGTTTTTCAATACTGGAATATGAAAGACTCTGAGTCATGAACTTCTTCCTGTTGAGAGCCAGCGTCTTGAAAAGCTCTAGCAGAGCTTTACATTTGAAAGTAACGCTGTAACAATTTACTCATTAATAAGCTGATGCTAAGTGACCTGCAAACAGAGGTTCTGAAGAAGTAACAGCTGTTCAGCTGTATCATTTTCTGCAGGGCTCGTATGATTCATGCTGCAATATGAAAACCCTCCTAATGGCATTGAGGGGCTGGGCTTGTACTGATTAAACTTTTCAGTTGGTCCCTCAGGTATGGAGTACTCAGCAGAGGAGCTCCTGGAAAAGTTCAGAAGAGCCAGTGCTGCAGTTTGGAGGCAGATCCTCAGCCTACATCTGACTTTGCTTTAGGAGGCTGATGATGGAGGGGGGCAACATGTTCCCGAAGTTCCTCAGAGAGGAGGAACAGCCATCCTAGAGACAGCTGCTTTATGAAAGCCTGCTCTGCATACACAAACACACACACCCATGCACACGTTTGCCTGCCTCTTCCACACATAGTCAGTATCTCTCTTGTCAGGTGAGAGAAGAGAAGCAGAACAGCAGGATTTGCCAGTTTCTTACCTTCAGGAAATCACCTCCTTGGCAGTCAACGTTTACAAAGTTGTAGTCTATTGTGATGAGCTCCTCAGGCTCCCCAATGAAGAAGGTTGCACAGTGCAGCTGTGGCTGCTCTGCAGTGAAGGTGAACTGCCCCTCTATGCTCAGCATGTCGATGCACCCTGCAGAAACCGAGACACAAGGCTGCTGCCTCAGACTGCTTGGAGGGGCACTCAGCGGCAGCCCCTGCAGTGCAGGGAAGAGGGTGGAGTGGGGAGACCCCCACACCGAGACCTGGCTGGCAGGCAGGAGACAGAGACCCAGCTGAAGCAATTAGCCAGCCGAACATCCGAGGACAAAGAGTAACTCACAGGTGTGAGTACAAGCATGTGATAGGAGGGAGGGTGCAGGGGGGATGACAAGTCAGTGCATCTCCGAGCAGAAAACTCTGTGTGTGTGTGTGTGCACGCACAAATGCATGAACACTTACACATCCCACTCCTTCAGATTTCTCCCTCATCATAACTTTTACACCTGCCCAGTCCCCTGGCGATGTGACTCTGCCCAAGGGATATGTGTAGATGATCTCCATCCTCCTCCCATTTCTGGCAACTAAACTCTGAGTCCCAACCTCTTTTCAGAGCCTCATTTCAACCCCTCTGCATCAATCAGTTTTTCTGAAATTTTAACACTTTCTCCTTCTTCTGCATTCCTTGCAGAAAAGCACCTGCAACTCTGCCACTCCCAAATAGCCCTTCTACCCCTCCCTGAGCTCTCACTAGAACTCCCCACCTGCTGAGGGTTGTCACCAGAGCACCAAAGAAACTCACGGAGTGAGCGCCGGTAGATCTGCCCTGCAGACAGTTCTCGCTTCAGATCCTCGCTGAGGAGCAGGAAGGGCTCATCTTCGCTGGCATCCCTCACCTGGTGAAGTAAAGAGAGCAAGAAGAGTCTAGAGCAAAGTGAGATGCAGCCACCTCCCTGCACTTCTCAAGATAAATCATCAGTAGATTAAATCCCTCCTCCAGAAAATGTGCATCAGTGGAAGAGCACAGACGGATAGGTGCCAGCCTGCAGTAGAAGGGAACAAACCTGGCACATAACAGGTAAGCCCAACAGCAGAGTGGACAGTGAGCCTCTTAAACAATCAGCAAAAATGCAAGTTTGAGAAAAGGTAGGATAAAGAAAAGGAGAGGGGAGGACTGTTGTATTAGCATTACTCAGGTGCAGGTTTAATTCAGGAGGAGTAGCAGGGGAGAGAGGAAAAAACATGATGCTCAAAAGCTGGGAATACTTAAAAGACAGCAACTGAAAGCCCAGTGAGGTGCTTTAGTCTTCAGCCCCATTGCTCACCTCTAGGTATCTGGTTTCCCCTTTGGAGGCTGCCAGGAAAATGAGAACGAAGTGGCACTGAAACTGGAAAGCAGACGGCATCCTGACACCTCTTCTGGCAGCCCTCCCTCCCTCACAGCAGCCAAGTTTCTCCTGGTCTGTGCCAGTAGGCAGGAGCTGCTGGGATACCTTGGAGAGACTCTTTTTATAGAGCTGTTGGGAGGGGAGGCACTTGGTTCCCGTACTGATAGGGTAACCCATGGTAACTGAATTCCTCTTGCAGTGACACAGTATGTGGGCATGACGAGGGTCCGAATCACAGCCACAGATTTCCACTCTGATCGAACTCCTTTTGCTAGCAGATGTTTTTTCTACTTATCTGTCTGGCAGAGATGAAAAGCTCTGTGGCAGAGAACCCATCCCTGTGCAGCCAGGGCACTCACATGGTGTGTGTATATCCAGTTACTCCAGTGAGGAGTAAGGAGCATCCCTCCCTCCTCCTCTTCTCCAGCCTCAGAACACTTTGAACCTGCAAGGCTCTCTGCTTCTTTCCTGCTGCTCCATGACATGCAGCTCTGTGCAGCCCCTGTTTCAGGTGCTTCCCATCAGCCAGGTCTGAGTTGGCATTCTTGCATCCCACCCAGGCTTGCAGCCTGGGGCCAACATTCCCCTGGGGCTGAGGAACCTGCTGGCTTCCAGGTCCTGTACCTGCAGCTGTGGCACAAGGGGTCTGCAGCAAGTACGGAGGTGAAACCAGGCAGCTCTCCCAGCCAGAGATCAGGAAAACTTGGGGTTCCCAAGAACGTACTCCCCACAGAACATCTGGTAGTGCTCTAGCCCTGATTCTCAAGGAAAACCTGAGAAAGACCTTCAAAAGCTGACCTTGTGAATGAAAATTCATAACTCTGCAAAGTACTAAAAGTCAGAAACTCAGAAAAAAAATTCATTTTAGGGTAAATTCTTGTTTTACCCTGACTTGGCATGAACCATCAATATTCTGCAGACAATAAATATCCTTTTCCCATCTCAGAATTCTTGCTAATGTTTCATTCTACTCTATGCTCCCCTGTTGAATTATCACTTAGATTCAGCAAAACTTAGAAATAATACGATCCGGACTTGCAAAGATTTAAGTTTGTTGCTTCTGATTTCATTATTAGAGCTTGTGGATAGAAACATTTGCTTGCTGTTTCACCCAATTTGTTAGCCAAAAAGCAAATATATTAATCATATACACCTGTGGTTCTGACCTTATTATATATTACCCATAATTCTTATGGATTAATGTAAACTCTAATATTGCTCCATATCTGAATGGCACTTCTGAGAATTTGTCATATTTTTGTGGGTTTCAAGAGCATAAAAATACTAAGGAAACAGAAAACACTCTTTGAACTTTGACATCAAGTCACCTTCAAAGGTTGTTAAAACTGCTTTGGGGAACTAACTAGGTAATTACTACATGAACTGAGAGTGGACTAATTAATCTTAATGTACTTTATTTGAATTCTTTAAATACAGTGCTTTTAGGTGAGGATTATCAGAAGCACCAAAGAAGTTTCCTTTTCTTGTCACATTCATTTTCTGAAACAATGAAGAAAGTCAGGATTACAGTATGACCCTCCACTCCCTACCTTCAAGGCACTTTGTGGAACCTGGTACCAGTTCTGACAGGTGTGTTCCAGTTTGCCCTGCCAGCCCCCAGACTAGATCATGGGTGCTGACTCCTTAAATACCTTCAGTAAAGGAGACTGTGTTTAATTCTGTGAAGATTTAACCAGTTACAGAAGATTTGGTTAAATCCAGTTAAAAAAATGAGTGAAGGTCAAATGACACGATAGCTAAATCAACATGACTGTCTATTATACCAGCTGTGAGGTGATCTATTAAGAAAAAAAACATACCAACAGTGATATCAACGTATTTTAAAGCCTTGCTGGTGAAGAACTGAAGTCTAGGCTAGCACAGCATTCACTAGTGAAGGTGCCCATAGAAGCAAATAACTCTAAGGGCTGCAGGACATTCCAGAAAATGAGGTGAGGGGACTTCTCCAAACAAAATTATAGAGGAGAGGGAGGATAAGAGCCAACTCTACATCTGTTGCAATTCCTTATCACACTAGGGGCTTTGTGTTTCCTATGCAACACCCATAGGGGTTTCTTTTAAGCATTACAAATACTCTGTATAACATGGGTGCAAAAGATAAACTCAGATGCCCCTTGCTGTGAAGGTGGTGATGGTTTTTAACAGAGGCACTCAGGCAATTTGTCCTCTATTCTGTGTTATCTTCCACTTCACATTTTGGCTCTGGGCTCAGCAAAAGCCAGTGAAGCACAATGACATCCTGCCTAACCTCACTGCAAAGCCTCCCAGTACCTGCTGTAGTTCCATGTGCCCTCAAGCACAGAACTTCCCTCAGCCTCCAAGCTCCTACACCCCTCCATTTGTGAAGCTCTAATGTCTGTGGAAGGCAAATATTCTGGATGGGGATAGGGCACCACATACAGAGGTGCAGATGCTGCTGGCAAGGGCTTGCCCTGTCTCCACGCCTGACTCAGATGGATTTGGGCAAATAGCGGCCCAAAGAGGACCATCCTCAGGGGGAGGTTCATCTCCCAGCCCTACATGCCAGTCATCAGAGGGCAAGAGAGCATGGAGGACCACATCCCCATTTGACAATGCTGCCTCATCCCAGGATATTACAGGTCTTCTTCCCTCTTTCACCTCCCTTTACCTGCTCCAGCAGTACTTTTGTTTAAGGCCACTGGCTCCAGGAGGTGAAATTTTGACTAAGAAAGAGAAGCAAAATCAACAGTTTAAACAGGGTTCAAAACATCTCTGCAGAATTTTGAAAGGAAAAGCACCTTCAATGCAATACAAACCCATGGCCAAATGATGAGGGTGTCATTTTTCTTTTATGGGGTTGAGTCATGTTGACACTTTGTAGGACAATTAGTTCTCTATAATATTGAATTATATAACACAGCAAAACACATCACCAGTCTGACCCTGCTAGGGGATAGATAATTCAGTTGCTGTCATGCTATGACAGCTTGATTCTGCTGGCAACTGTAACTCATTCTGTGAGCAGCCCCTTTCTGTGGCAGAGGTGATGAGATGCCACGAAGTTGGTGAGAGACTGGTCTGCTTGCACATTATCAGCCACTCTGCTCTTCTATGGCTCAGAGGGACACTGCTCATGCACCCCAGCCTTGGTAGAGCCTCAGGTTTTTAAAACAGTGCTTGTGGGTGTGTTTTTTATGCCATTCATCTGCATGTTTGGAAGAAACCACCTGCCTCATGGTGGAAATCCTCCTTCTCACACTTGGAGCTTATAGGTGTCTTGTTAGCGATTACAGCAGAGAAGAGATGCCAGCTGTGGTAAGAAGTGGAGAAAATACAGTTGCATAGAGAAAGTAGTGAAACTAACATTATTTACCCTCTCCTGTGGTGATCAAGTGATGCTCTGTGCCCTAATACATATATTAAAAGCAGTTCTCAATGGTGAGGTAGTTGGTACAGGAAGATTGTGGCTAATTTCTTGTTATTGGGATTTCCTAGTGAGCAGTGCTTGAGCTACAAGATCCTTCTCTGATGCAAAGGGGGTGCAGCTGTTATAAACCCTTTATGCTCTCCAGAAGGGTCCCTTGAGCCCCATCTCACTGACATGGCACTTTAACATGCTTTAAATCCTGAAGAAGATAATTTTATTTCAGCACTCTCTTTGCCACAAAGACACTGCAGGCAGTGTTCCCCATTGTCCCCACTCAGTGTGGATATTTCACCTGCAGCACATCTCACCCTGCACTCTAGTAAAGAGATGAACCTTGAGGATAGCTCTGGAGAGCCCATACAAACCACAGATCCTGGACTTCCTACCATCTACTTGTTGAAAACCACAATCTTCTGGTTTGGGCCAGATTTTAGACACGACATTTCTTCCTCCCCAGAGCACCTCCCTCCTCAGCTCCAGCTTAACTGCTGGCACAAGCAGCTGGAGCAGAACAAACATCCTTCTAACACTGGGACCTTAAACAAGAGTTAATTTTTCTATATAGACACAACCTCATGCAAGGTCCAACCCCACACCACAGGAAGCAGCCTGGCTGCTGCATGTCTCTCTGCTTGTCTGTGCCCAGAGGTTTAATGAACTCATGGGAACAGCAGCAAGTCTGCAATGCCACACCAATGACTGACTGCTCAAGTGAAAAGGATTTCTCCTGCCTGGGGGCTTCCATCCTTGGCTCTTGATGCTGATTTCCCACTGCTTCTCAGTGCAGGCTGAAGAAATGCTGTGTGGGGCTGATGCACAGTGTGAGACATCTGTCTGGACTTAAAAATTCCTGTCGTGTCAGCTGCCAAATACTGTGATGAGCTACATTTATTTCCCTTTTTCTGATCTCCAGTGAGATTCAGAATTAATTCAGGGACAGGCTTTTCCTTTCTCCGTCAGTGTCTAGGAGATGCAGTACTAGCCAGTCCTTGCTGTTTATCATGTAGCTGCAGGTCTCATTCCAATGTCGATGTCTTTGCAGGGTAAGCCATTACTGCATATCACTTGTATTTTATTATACACATATGCCATTCAGCTGGTAGAAAATCCTTCAATATATTAGAAATAAATTGTTCACTGTGAGGGTGGTGAGACATTGGAACAGGTTGCCCAGGGAAGTCATGGATGCACCTTTCCTGAAAGCGTTCAAGGCCAGGTTGGATGAGGATTTGAACAATCCAATCTAGTGGGAGGTGTTCCCACCCATGCAGGAGGGTTGGAACTAGATGATCTTCAAGGTCCCTTAAAAACCAAACCATTCTGTGATTCTGTGATTATTCCTGAACGGTGGGATCAGTTAGTCCAGATTAAGGTGATAAATGTAGTAGCTCTGAAGTCACAAATGCTACAGTGAGGGCTAATTTTTTAATCCCATCCTCCCTACTTTGCATGGTAGCAATCAGTTATTGCTCTGAAATAACAGCACAGAAAAGGAAGCAAAGGGAAGGCTGTATGGCAAACTGCAGCCCTAGAGTTCATTGGGAAACTGTATGCTCGATACAGACTCACACCAGATTTGCTTCAAAAACTGTCTGAGTCAAATGAATATGGAGGTCCTGCTTCTGGTCCAGTTCCCTCATCCCTTAAGTCACCACAAAAACACACTGAAGTAACTAAAA